AGGTGCGTTCTACATAGTCGCCCTGACAACAAGACCAAGTTGCGAAAACGAGGTCAACCCACTTCTATAAATCCAAAGCAGACTGCCACCATAACAGGACACAATATCTTGGTCTTTATATCTTTATCACTGATAGCTTCGGGGCCTACTCTAAGCAGCTTTAAGTAGAGACAAAATGCAAGATTGGTTCATCGACATTCCCATTATGAATATATGTCAAAAGCTCTCCATACCTTAAAATTTGCATATTATATGTGACCCAGGGGAACTCATGGCAGCATAGAGGAGTAGAATAAGTCGATATTATCCCCTGCACAACCTGGGTTTGATTCCCACTCAGGGTGCCAATGAGCTTTAGGCGAGGTAAGCAAGGCTTTGGGAAGTAAGGCTAGGTAACATTGAACGAGAACGTCAGGCCTATTCGTATAGTAGGAAAACTCATCTATCAGTTCTTAATAAGTTAATGTGAGTTAGGGTTATTGGAGCTCTTCATTTTACTTTGGCTTGTATAGATGCTTTTATCAGTTATGTAGTTACTGCCAAAACGCAGTATCTTCATCATACTCAGCATCTGTATCATACTCTTGATTCAATCCTTCAATTATTTCAGCTTTTTCAACCCTCATGAATCTCACACCATATTCTCATCTCATTTACCTTATTTTTTGAAACAATTCGGCCCTCCAAGTTCAAAATGAAAACTACGTTTCCTTTCTAATCTTCCTCTTGTATTTTTCAGTTTTAAGGTAGTTTGGGTTTGCCCACTCTCTGACAAAAAGTTCCGCGAGCCAATCTTCGTGCGCAAGCATATTCTGAACAAACACGCAGAGAAAATTGAGACATCACGAAAGGATAATTCAATTTTCTTCAATGCCTATTTGAAAGATGCTCGTCGACCGTGCCTACCCGAAGCACCGCAACCTGGGGCAAGTTTTTTCCCTAGTGGTAGTGGTAGTGCTGGGTCTCTCCCGAACAGACTTGGTATTCCTTCTGGTTCTGGTGGTGGTGGAGGCTCTGGAGGTGGGCAGCGAGGGTACTCCACATCGGGTGGAGTTAGTGGTCGTGCTGGCGCCGGTGGTACTTCGAGCTCCATGGGTGGATCCGGTGGAGGTTATCGAACCGGCGGAGGCGGGCTAGTTTCCGGGTCAGGCTACCGTGCGGGTGGAGCTGGAGCCTCTTCCTTGCTTGCTAACCCATATCAAGGAGCTAGAGGCGTCGGAGGCTTCCAGGTTTGTGTGTATTCGAAGGCATCATACGTCTTTTTTACTTGACGTTCTTTAATTCTATTTTTTCTTATTTTAATCTCCTGGATACACATTTTTCCTTACTTGGCATAAACTCCTCTTTCATCATTGAACTACTTAGGTCAAAAATGATATTGTTGTGAACAGGCTTGTCACCTTATTTAGCATTTTATTTCAGTTTTGATCAAAATTCTTTCTCCAGTGACAATCTAGATACCTATAGACTAGTTTAAGCACGGAAGGCAAAACTTTCCAGCTCATTCATTTTTCATTTTAATTATACTTATACATTCTTCAGACTGCATATAAGCATAGTATTCGTATTCAGCCTTGCTCACCACAGTTACTCTATTCGATGAACCTCACCTAATTGGCTATCATCTATTGGCCCTGGCTAGCCTATTCCTTATGCTGACTTATTCCATTGAACGGCTGACTCGACGACAGTATCAAAGATCGTGGCTTAGGTAACTAAGCTGATTCTTTTTCTCTCACTAAATTTCATTCATGCCTCTCCTGGGTATAAGATTATCACTTTCTTCTTCACTTTCACCCTCCAAAGCTGGTAGTATTCTTTAGTACTCATTTTATTTTTATCTAAGTGCTGACCTAGTTACTTGCCGCTGGAGGCTTAATAAGACTTATTAGACTGAATGATTTCCTTTTTAATATTAATTGT